AGTCCATTTAGTTGAATCATCTGGTGAAGTGTTACTAAAGGATTTGCATTTGGGAGGAGATGTTCAATCTGGGGCACTGACAGGCACACCGGGCTCATACCCAGGTGAACCACACCGTTGCTGAGTGAGGCAGATAAGAGCATTTGCCACTCGCTAAGTGCTGAGGCAGAGATAATGGTACAGAGTATTTTCTAGAATGTGGCTTCATAGTAGCAATCACAGAGAGCCTTTGGGCCCTGGGCCCTCCCTGGGATGCTCTGTCCTTGACAGCTACTTTGGCCAGTCATTTTTAAAGCCCTGCATACATGGTTCTCACCTCTGCCTCTCCCCCTCAGCACCCTCCCATCTTCTCTCTCCAGGTCTTGCCTCTGTTTCTACAGGCTTGTTCTAACACCTCTCTCTCCTCTTCCTGATTAGCAGCTGAGAGAAGAGTGAGCTCCCTCCCCTCACAGCTGCCCTGCCTCCCAGTTCTCCTCTCCAGCTTCCCTCCTTCCTAACTCCTATCTCCCTTCTCTTTCAGCTCCACAGACAGACCTTACACCCTGCACCTGGAAAAGAAATGCAACAGTACTCGCACCCCAGTGATTCTGGCTACCCATTCATTTGTCTAATTGTATCTTCTCTCAATGCCTCCACAGACAGATACAGGAGCTTGGAGCTACTGCAGGTTCACGTGCCATGTAGGCCATGAGCATGTGGATGAGATGTCCCTGAGCCCTGTGTCCATGATGGAGGAACTCCAGGAGCAGGGACCTTGTCTGTTCACATCTATGCCCACGGCACCTCCAACAGTCCCAGAATGTGGTTGGTATGCAAGAGCAAGGCAGTGTCTGTCTGGGTTAAAACCCCAGTGTCTGGCACATTTTTGCATGAAGGAACAAAGGCTCCCCAACTACCATGTTGTGTTTTAATTCTAAACCTCAGTGACATCCAGGTGGCATCCCTGGCTGGGACCCTTGACCTAAGGCCTAAGAACAATGAAAAAGGGGAAGGTGATACAAAAGAGTGAACCAGTGGTGCCAATACTTGTGATGGGCAGGCCTCCTCCCACCTTGTCCAGCTGCAATGGATTGGCCTAATTTTTACCTGACCACTTGATCCCTGTGTCCTGAAGCGCAGGCAGGTCCCAGGGGTCTTCCACCTCTGTGGGCTCTTCGATCAATGCCACAGTGGAATAAGAAGGCAGAAGTTCAATCTTGGTTGCAGGTCTCGTGGGGACATCTGCCAGAAACAAGCAACAAGAGAAGAGTCAGACCTGAATTGTCTCAGGACCTCCCAGGAGACAAGT